CAACAATCCTGTTTTAGATGCCATTATTAATGGAAGTAGACCAAATGCCTGCAGCAAACTGACCTAGAGCCAACTGAAATGTTTGTAAAAGACTTCAAATAAGTTAATGCAAGTTTTATTATTGAAATTACAAGTATATCCCTAAAAATACATTAAAAACACTGTCTATGTGCACTATGGTTTGTTACAGAGTTTACATCAAGGCATCAGAAGGGATTTTCTCTTTATCAGCTTTATAAGGAACATACTGAGGTGCTTTTTGAAAATCTCAGGTGATCCCTAGTCTGCACAAACAATGGTACTGATGTTAAAACTCATGTGAGAAGCAGATGAACTTGTTTGGTAACATAAAAGAAACCCTGGGGGCTGGAGAGATGGTTCAGGAGTTAAGAACACTTGCTGTTCTTCCAGAACACCTGGTTCAATTCCCAGCACCCACATGGAGGCTAACAACCACCTGCAATCCAAGTTCCAGAGGACCTGATGCTCTCTCCTGACCTCTGCAGGCATTACACAACACAGGTGCAGTTACATACATGCAGGCAATACACTCATACACACAAAATAAAAAAAATTAAAATTTAAAAAAACATAAAAGAAACCCTATCGTTTTCCCACTATACTGGGGATCAAAGCCAGGGCCTGTCTACGTTAGGAAAACACTCCTACCAACTGAGCTACCATCCCAGTTCACAGTTCTAAATGAATGGCAGGAGACATGTGGTGGCACTATCTCATTGAGTGCTGGCTTATCTGTTCCTACCAATCTTTCTTCATTAAGGAATCTCAATTCTACTTGAGACTGCAACATGCTCAACCCACTCTGCATTTCCTAGTGGTGCCAGGATGCAGCCCCAGGCCCAGGTTCTGCTCATGAGACATACGTTGGGCAGGCTTCTGGGAAAGTGCTGAAAAATAAAAGGCTTGTTATTGTTTATGTGGAAAATTCCCCCTCATTATCTCTGGCACACCAGGGTGAGGATGTGAGCACTATGTATTGATCTGCCAGCTCTCTTGAGACCCTGAAGTGAGATACTGCCTCTAACTAGCTAGAACACAGCACCTGGACACCTGCAGCTGAGCATGCCTAAAACTAAACTTGTATTCTTCATTTATTCTCCACTTTCTCTGCATTTAATGCCTAGTAGTAATCAGTTAACTCCAGTCAACTAAGCAGAAATTTTGGATTCATCTGACATATTTCTATCTCCCTACTCTCAGCATCCTACTAGTCTTTAAGCTTAAGCACATATATCTCTGAGCCATTCTGGGGTTAGCCTAAAATGAGGACATCACCAGACAACTATGTGAAGGCAGCTACACTCACCATTACACCTTCACTACAGATGTCAAATACTGTCTGGGGGTGTTTTCCAATTTCACTTCACTATTTCCAGATTCCATTTGGAGGAATCAGTCTTCCACACATCTGTCAAAGTGACATCAACATTTTATTTTAATTAGCTGTTTCTTGGAAATTTGTTCTCACCATGCAGCCCAGGCTAGCCTTGAACTCACAATCTTACTGCCTCAGTCTCTGAGTGCTGGGATTCTAAGCATGTGTCACCATGCCTGACTTTAATTATTTTATTAAAAAATATTTTTGAGCTGGGCGTGGTGGCACACGCCTTTAGTCCTAGCACTTGGGAGACAGAGGCAGGAGGATCTCTGTGAGTTCAAGGTCAGCCTGGTCTACATACTGAGTTCCAGGCTACCTGGGGCTATAAGGAGACTGTCTCAAAAAGACCAAAAGAAGGCTGGAGAGATGACTCAGTGGTTAAGAAGACTTTCTGTTCTTCCAAATGTTTGATTCCCAGCACCCACATAGTGGCTAACCGCCAAACATAACTTCAGTTCCAGGGACTCTGACACCCTCCGAGGAGCACTGCACAACACGGGTGCACTTACATGCATGTAGGCAATACACTCATACACATGGTCTTTTAAAAAAAAGACCAAAAAAATATGGTGGGCTATGCCCAGGACTTGAAAGAGGAATGAGAAAAAAAAAATGGGGTGCTGGAGAGATGGCTCAGCAGTTAAGAGCACTGGTTGCTCTTGCAGAAGACCTGGGTTTGGTTTCCAGTACCCACATGGTAGCTCACAAACATTCAAAACTCCAGGTCCAGGGGATATGACACCTTCTTCTGGCCTCCAGGGTCACTGCAAGGATGTAGTGTACTTACATATATTATACATAACACTCATACAAACAAAATAATTTAAATATTTTGCATGAGACAGAATTTGTGTATACTAGGCAAGCACTCTACAAATGAGCCACATCCCTAGCTCCCCAGTATTTTAAATTTGAACCTGTTCTGCTTTTTGAGGCAGGGTGTCATAGAACCTAAGCTGGCCTTGCTGGGGAGGCAAGGATTACCTTGAACTTCTGATCCTCCTGCCTCCACCTCCCAGTGCTGGGATTACAGGAAAGTGACACCATGCCTAGTGTCATGTGGTGCTGGGGACTGACCCAACGCTTTAGGAATGCTAGGTAATCATTCTACCACATGGGCTACATCCCCAGCTCAAGAAGAGCTTTAAGATTAGAAGTCTGGTGCCAGTAGAAGCCAGGTGTCAGAGGCTCAGGCGTTGGAGTTAAGGATACTTGTGAGATACCATATGGATGTTAGGAATTGAACCTGTATCTTCTGCAACAGCAGTGTGAGCTCTTAACCACTGAGCATCTCTGGGTTTCCCTAGCACATTTTTAAAGTCATCTATTATAACATTATTCCATTGTGCTGTCAAGATTTTTTTCCTCTTTCTAGCTTGCTGAAACTGTACATGCCTTACAAGCTGGGATCAGGTCTCATGGGGGGGGCACACAGAAAGTACTCAACAAACATTTCTGAATAAATAAGTCATTAAAAGTTGTATATAAAAACAAAAAAAGAAATAAAAAATTATTTTATATCACTTGGAAATCCTGATGTTTAAATAAAAAGGCGAGAGCCAGTATTGATATAAGTGGAAATTGTAAAAATCTAACCAGGAATAACTAAGACATGTCATTAATTGTGTCACTATGCTATAATAACATTACAACCCCAGGGAAATAGACGTCAAGGCCAATTTACCCTCTGTTATGGACTGAACAGAGTCACTCAAAATTTATGTGCTCCCTCAACCTTAGATAGTACCCTTAATTAGAAAGAGGGTCACTGTGGATGCTGATTAAGTACACCTATGGGTGGGGTGGTAAGCCCTTATTTCAGAATGGCTGGTGTCCTCAGAAGACACAGAAAGGTGAGAAGGCCAAGTAATTTAGACAAAGGTAAAGTGCTTCAGCTATAAACCAAGAGTGCCAAGGGCTACTGGTATCAGGAGCTCAGGAGGAGGCAAGGGTTCATTTTGACAGGTTTCAGGACGATGCTGAATCTACCTGTGATCTTCAACTTCTAGCTCCAGAATTATGAGACAATCTGACAGAATATTCTTCTGCTCATTCCTGTCAGTGTGTGAGACAAGCCGGTGCTTTTGTCTGTCTGCTGGCCATACTGCCAAGGGCCCATAACAGCCTTGAAAGCTGCTTGTTTGCCTTGTTTCTAACAGCTGTGGACACTCGTAGCACAAGATAGGCCTTCACAAAGTGTGAGCTGAATACATTATGTCCACTATGAACTAAAGTCAAATGCTCAAAGGACATGAATGGCAGACAATGAAGATAATTCCACACGTCTTGATATTCTCCATCTTACTTGGGGGAAGAGACTGAAAATAAAGGGTCAGAATTTTAAGATGCACACCAGAACGTACACCTTTGAATGAACTCTATCCTTTCCACAGTAGTCTCCCCTAGCTAAGGGCTTATTGTTTGAAACATTTGGGAGGAATGATTTGGGAATTGCTGTTGGACCTTTAAGTCCAGTTCTCAAGCAAAATGTAATTTTGAAGCCAAAAGTATTTGGAGTGAAGCCTAATAAATAAAGCCAATGATACATCCAACAGAGGATTAGTGCATCTCTCGACTCTCACCAGAAAAGGTTCTTACTGTAGATGGCAATTTACACAAGTGTTCAACATGCAGAAAATAAAGACTGCAGAGTGCTTGGCTCTAAATGGAACACCCTCTCCTAAAACTCAGGGATCATTCTGGAAGAGGGAGCAGAGAGACTGTAAGAGCCAGAGGAGGTGGATGAATACAAGGAAACAGTGTTTTATGGATACAACAGGGAAGTTGCACATTTGAACCCAGTGTTTGTGATAGAATGCAAGGACCCGTCCATGCCCAAGTCATACAAAAACCCAGCATGGAGAAGGCCCAGCCCTAGCTGAACTAGTAGCAGCTAATAGCTGCAGGGAGAGGGAGAGTCAGTTTTCTTTAAGGATGTGATGCAGAATGTTGACCAGGCTCCAGGGACTAGACCCATAGACCCAAGAGCATTTGGGGACACTTGATAGGCCCTAAAAGGTGAAAGAGAACATGGGGGCGTACAAAGGTAGGGGAGATCTGGACGAGATTGGGGGATTATGAATATGATCAAAATGCACTGTATGAAATTCTCAAAGAATCAACATTATTTTAAAAATCAAGATGTGCTCATTAAAAAGCAGAAACAAAATCCCTACAATTTTTAGCCAGATGTGGTGACACATGCCTGTAATCCCAGCACTGGGCACTGAGGCAGGATGACGGTTCAAGGCTAGCATAAATTGAAGAGAGGCTGTTTCAAAAACTTTTTTTTTTTTTTTTTGATTACAGAACTGGAAAGCTACCTAAGCTCCTGCAGGCAGGAAATCAATCAGCTAAATGAGGGACAAACTGATGTTTGTGGGAAATGTTACAAGATTCGCCCCGCAAGACGGGCGTGGCTCGCACCTGTAGTCCTAGCACTTGGGAGTCTGAGGCCAGAGGATCCCTGAGCGTGAGGCCGGTGAGACAGTCTGAAATTAAACTGCACTTTTCAGGCCTCCCAAACTGCAAGAACACGTCATTCAGGAAGGGAGTCGAGGCCCACCCGGGGCACGTATCAGCAGAGACCCCCCATACCAACCATGACGAAATCGTCTTTCCGGTAGGGCAGGAAGGTCTGGTCGAAGCCGAACGCTTGAGCCTGGATTCTGCCCAGCATGGACCTGAGGCAGAGGAGAGTCAAGTTAGAGGGCGGGGCGCGGAGCCCGGAGCGCGGAGCCGGGAGTCCGAAGCGTGGAACGCCGAGCTCGGAGCCCGGAGCCTAGGGAGCGGAGCCGCGAGCCCGGAGGGCGGCGCCCGAAGGCGGAGACCCCGGACCCCAGGCCGCCCACCCGCACGCCGCTCCGCCGTTGGTTCCTCGCCGCCGCCAGACCCCAGGCTCGCCGCTCCCGCCCCTCGACCCTCACCACTGGCGGAGCCGGCTGGTGATCTCCCGGGCGCTCAGGGACGGGAAGGTTCTCTGAGGCAGGAACCTGAAGTAGTAGCCGCCAAGGTCTCCCGGTTCCCCGGCCGCCATCGTGCTGCCGGCTCTGAGGAAGGCGTAGAGGTTTCCTTGGAGACGCGGGCGCTAGAGCCGCGCCACGCTCAGGAGGCGTGGCATTGTTCAAGAGAATGGGCGTGTATAGGGCGGGCCCACGCTCAGGGGGCGGGGCGCCGCTCGGAGCCGGACGCAGCTCTGGGGCGGGGCTACGATCTGGGGGCGGGGCGTTGCTCAGAGGTGGGCGTGTACGGGGGGGCAGGGCTACGACCAGGGGCGGGGCGCTGCTCTGGGGACTGGGGGCGGGGTTATGGTCGGGCGGGGTCGTGGTTAGGGGCTGGGCGCCTCTCCGGCCCCGCCTCGCAGCCCGGCAATACTTGGTTGAGGAGGAAGGCAGCTAGGCTTACCTAGGGGAAAAAGAGGTCTAAGATGGAGACAAGTTGCTCATAGCTCTGTGTCGGCATGTACTCCTAGTTGCGCTGCATGGGCCACTGACCTAGTACCAACTCTATAGTCTCAGAGACCTTGGGAAGGTGTTAGTCTAAGTTAACTAGGATCATCTGTTTTGGAAGACAAACGTACAGGGTTATTTGAGCAAGTATTTTGTTTTAGTATGTGACAAAAAGAAAGTTTCTATACACACTACACTACAACATGCTATTTAAAGACATATTTTCTATTGAAAATAGCTTTTAGTATCTATCACTTTGTTTTTTGTGTAATATCTACGTTAGGCTTTAGATAGGGGGGTAACCATTTTCCACTAAGTTCCTTTAAGAAAAAGGAAGAACCAACTGCTTCTTAAGAACTGATCCCAATTATGCTTTGGTGAGGAGAGAGGACCCCATTCTTCTCCTTGTTGCTTAGCATATACGCCATAGTTTATCCCTGAATCTATTTTGAATGCAGCTGTGAACATTCTTATTGTGTAACTATTGTTTCAGTCCTTCCCTCATTCATAAGTTTTTTTTTAATTTTAAAAATTATTTTTATTTTATGTGTATGAGTGTATTGCCAGCATGTATATAAGTGCAACCGTGTCGTACAATACTCAGCAGAGGTCGGAAGAAGGCATTGGATTCCCCAGAACTGGAGTTACAGACAATTGTTAGCTGTCATGTGGGTGCTGGGAACCGAACCCTGGTCCTCTGCAGGAGCAGTCAGGGCTCTTACCTGCTGAGCCATCTCTCCAGCCCCTCTTAAGTACTGTTTTAAGGAAATGCTAAGTTTTATTAAAAGGTATAAGTAACACATGGAGGAAGCAAAGGTGGCATCCATCACTTTGCTGGCTTTTACTGCTGGCTTTTGGAAAGTTCCTTCCAATGAGCAAACTTTAATGGAAAAGGGGCTATTCAAGATTTGCTGGGTGGGGGTCTGTGAGAAATTCCAGGGATGGGTTGGGATTTCCAGAAATGCAGTTTATTCTCTTTTGTCTGTTAATTTTTGAGGAGGAAGAGGGTTTTTTGAAATAGTGTCTTTCTATGTAGCTCAGGCTGGCCTTGAATTCAGATGTAGTCCAGGCTGACATCAATCCTTTTGCCTTGGCACTGGGGCAGGGCTGTGACCAGGGGCAATCCTTTTGCCTTGGCCTGCTTAGGAAGGAATGTATCTGTTGGTAAAGGAAGGGGTTAACCTTGACTGCCTTCAGTGTCTGGAAGACAAATATCCTGGGAGTGGGACTGGGGTGGGTCTGGGTGGAGTTAGGGCTCCAGGAAGCTGTAAACAAGTAGGGACTGGAACCTGTCTCTTCTGGCACAGGAATCCTGGTTTTGACATTAATTTCCAGCTCTTCATGGCTGTCAAGCAAGGCGGCCTGTTGGACTGGGCACAGCAGCTCATGGTAGTCTTTGGTTTCCATTAAAAAAAAAATGAACAAACAAAGAAAACTTTTTATTACAGAATCCTGTTTTTGGTTTATGTTTACAAAATGTTATAAGGCAAGGTGCCCCAATTTCCTACTCAGATCAGTCTTCAGCACTCCTTGGAGTCGGGGGGGCTGTGGTTGTGGCTGAGGCAGGGCAAGGGCTGCTCCATTACTTCAGATGCTGAGAGTGCTAAAGACACAAAGCAGGGAATGTAGTCTGGGGGAAGTTGTGCAGAATTAAGGCTTTATTGGGGAGCTAACTTTATTTACTTACTGTGTGTATATGTGTGCATGTATGTGTAGAAATCAAAGGCCAGCTTTTGGGAGTCAATTCCTTCCTTCCACCGTGTACATTCTGGCAATCAAACTCAGGTGGTCAGGCTTGGTGGCGAGTGCCTTTACCCCCGAGCCACCTCATGAGCCCAAGTGACTTTTCTTTTTTGTTTGAGGCAGGGTTTTATGAATCGCAGGCTAGCCTCCAACTCACTGTGTAGCTGAGGATCACTTGAACTTTCAATCCTCTTTCATCCAGTTCCTGAGTGCTGGGATTATGGGAGCTAGCCTGCACGCTTATTTTTCTGTTTGTTTGTGTTTTGTTTTTTTGAGACAGGGTCTCCCTGTAGTCCCAGCTGGCCTGGAACTCACTATGTAGACTAGTCTGGCCTTGAACTCACCAAGATCCTCCTGCCTCTGCCTTCCAAAGGAGCTGGGATTAAAGTGTTGCACCACCACAGCCAGCTATGCTTGGTTTTATATGACACTGGGGATAGAACACAGGGCTTTGTGCATGCTAGGCGAGCACTTCACAGACTGAATATCAACTGAGCCACATCCCTAGACTATAAATTGTTCAGAGACATGGACCACCATGCCTATTGAGAGGGTGACTCTTGATTATTACATGTTTTTCATTATGGATAAACCTATAAATAAATCTATAGTTAACCCAAGAACTCGTTGGAAGTCCCTGGAGAAAAGGTTAATATGAGATTCTTTGTCTCACTATAGACACTTCAGCTAGAAGAGAAAAGGATTATTTTGACTGAGTTTTGTTGCTGTCTATGATCAAGCAGCCCCATGACTTTGAACCTTGAATGAGGCTGCACAGCACTATGGGAGCCTGTACTGGAAGCAAACCATTCACTCCCTCACTCAAGAAACAGAAGCAACAGGGAGAGCAAGAGACGGGGTACCACAACCTGTTTTGAAGGCAGGCTTTCAGGCCCTACATACTTCCTATTAAATCCTACCTACATCTGAAAGGCTTGCAACTTCCCATCCCTGAGGAACTGAGCCTTTAAACCTATGAAGGACAGTTATCAAAGCTGTATCACTGCTGATGAGCTGGTTCACACTGTTTGGTTTGGGTTTTTTTTATTTTTTTTTTTCTGTTTGGTTGTTGTTTTGTTTTGTTTTTATGACAGGGTCTCATGTAGCCCAGGCTGGCCTCAAACTTACTATATAACTAAGGGTGCCCTTGAACTCCTGATCCTCCTGCCTCCATCTCCCAAGTGCTGGAATTATAGCTTGTGCCATGTATCTGATATAGGCTGTGCTGGGGATAAATCCAGGGCTTCAGGCGTGCTATGCAAGCACTCTATTAATGGAGCTATACCCCCAGCCCTGGTTCACACTGTTGTGTGTTAAAACTGAATTTGGTTAAAGACTCACCAGGTTAAAAGTGACAAGTGCTTCACCATACACGTTTCCACCCTTTCTTCATCCTCTAAAATGCCAGGTGTTTTGTCACTTGGAGGTATGACTACTTGCAATGCTCAGGTGGTGACTGTTCCTCAGGGCCTCTTGTACGTGAGATATTTATCTGCTTCCCTGTCAAGGTACAGCTGCTTTCAGGCCACAGGGGAGTCTTTTCCATTTGTGTGTTGCAATGTTAGGTCACTGCAGGGCAGGTATGGGAGGAGTCAACTAGACAAGTCTCTTTGCAGATCCCAGATAACAAATTCTTGAGATTTTTAAATACTTATTTTTCTTCCAGGAAGGGAAGGGCTTTTGGTGATGTGTTGAGAGATTGTGACGCTTTGTAATAAACAGCTCCACAGAAAGCATGGTGGTCTTGCCAAACATGTCCGTCGTGAGCTGTGGATGTGCATTGTAGTGATTATCAACACAGAAGACAGAATCAGGGTCCTAGAGATGGTCCCATGTATGCACCCATCTTTTGAGGCTATAGAATCAACAGAGTTTTCAGGTCTATGCATTTCTTAGCCTTGCAGGTCACTGGGAATGTTTTAAAATCATTTAATTTAGAGAGGCTGCAAAGGCGTATGAAGCTGTATATTGGTGTTTTCATGTTTCCTCCCTTCCTCTTCCCACTGTCTATGCAGATACGTGAAGATGCTGAGGTCTGCTTGGCCCCGATGCTCTAAACAAACCAGTTTCCTCTCGTTCAGCTAGCTAGTTGAGATGGTAGGTTTGAGGATTCATTCACTGATGCATGGCACATGCTTAGACCAGTCTCCAGCACACAGTAAACATTCAAATGTTAGCCATTAGTACTTATGGAATGTACATTACTTGCAAAGGGGCCTTATGTGATGGAATGCAAGTAGCTAGAGAGAGGTCTACAGGTTAGACCTCTACACCTGCTAGAAAGGAGTCAGGACAGGCACACTACAGCTGGAGCGATTACTTAAGAAATAAACTGGGTCTGGGCATGGTGGCCCATGCTTTTAATCCCAGCACTCAGGAGGCAGAGGCAGGTGGATCTGTGAGTTCGAGGCTAGGGTGGTCTACATATCAAGTTCAAATGATACATAGTGCCCCTACCTCCCCCCCAAATAAAAGCTGGGGGCTTGGAGTGTGGCTCCTTGCTTGAGTATTATACGGTGTGTGCTTCACATGCAGGAGCCCTGGGCTCAGTCGCCACCATGCACCCATCTCAAGAAAACAGCAAATATCAACAATAACAAAATCATCTGTCCTGTGGTATTTTTGTTTGTTTGTTGAGACAGGATCTTTCTATGTAGCCCAGGATGGCTTTGAATTCATGGCAGCCCTGCCTCTGTCTCCTGAGTATTGGAATTACGGGCATGAGCTGCCATACCCAGCTGGCCTACCATATTAAAATCTTGAAATTGTACCAGGCCATTAGTAATCTGGCCTCCCCCTACCTCTTCGTCCTCATCTAGTAGCACACTGTGTCCTTTGTTCTCTAAACTCTGGTGACATTGGCTTCT